GTGAGTGTGTGTGCGTGTGTGTGTATGTGTGTGTGTGCGTGTGTGTGTATGTGTGTGTGGTTGGCATAAGAAGAAGGAGGAGAAAAATCCATATTGGAATGAGGAGGCAAGGTGGGGAGGGGGTGAGTGGGGTGAGTGGGGGTATCAGAGGTGGTAATGAATGAGAACCCGCACGCTGGATATTGGCCGGCAGAAAGCTATCAGACTGCTGAGGGGGAAAAGTGCCATTATGATATTGTTGTCTCGGTCTCCCGTCTATCGGTTTGTGGATAGTGCTGATGTCCATTTTCTCCTTCAGGTAGGTGTGATGATATAAAATAGTCAGACCTTTGATATTTGTTAATAGAGCGGGAAAATGAAGTAACCCCCCACCCCAACCCCCCCCCCCAAAAAAAAACAAAACAAAACAACAACAACAAAAATACAAAAACAAAAACAAAAACAAACAAAACCCCCAACTTCCCCCACCCCATCCCTCAGCAACCCACAACAACAAGAAAAAAACAGCATAAAATGCATTCTATTTTGATAAGTGGGGATGCATGCACTTAAACAAATTATACCGCATATTATTGGCCTAGAGTAAGCTTGTATTGTAACAACACAAATTTTGTAGCGTAATCGTTTATAGTAAGCTCGAGGTGTATTTATACAAGTTATATACGGTAGCGCGAGGATTTATTTTAGTAAGCTTGCGTTGGGTTTATACAAACTATTTAGCATGTTGGTCTAAAAAAGTAAACCTTTTTGAACTTAGAGGTGCTGATTGACGGTAAGCTTGTGTTGAGTTAATACATAATATACACATTTTGTGGCTCAGTGGTTTATAGTATGCTTGTGGAGTACCGATACTTATAATGTATAGTATGAATTCCGTAGCGTAGTATTCTATAAAAGTAGGCTTGGTTTCGCTTGACTTGATCTCGCAATTGCGTACTAATTATTCAACACTTCGCAATATAAGAGCACACGGTGCGAGAGCACCGTTGTTTCGTAATATGTATTTAATTAAAATTATTTTTTGGTGCTATTTTTTAAGTGCTCTGTCATACGTCAATCTTTCTTGGTTTTTCCAGGTGTCTATAACGTGCTTCTTTTATGATACGCACGCTGACGTAAGGGTAGTTCTCCTTTCCTGCTTGGTCACCGATATAAATATATTTAATTAACTTTAAACGTGTCTAAAATAAATAGACAGATCTATCCGTGTCTGTGGCGAGATAAGTTGTCTCTTCGCTAAAGACGCACACGGCTAGTGTTCAATTCCACTGTGGGAGACAGTGTTAATTATAAGCTATTTGATCTTCCTGCTTGTGCTGTAGTGTTTTTCATTGTATAGGATATCCCTGACAGGAAGTCAGAACTGATGAGTATAACGTTGTGTGCGTGATGTGATAGTAATAGTCAACACACGGTTGTGATAAGGTTAGTTTTGTGATTGGGAGAGCAATGAGGTGTTACTTTAAAAGAAATTTTGATGAAAGTATATTATTTTACAGATTTTCAAACGAGTTTAATGTGTCCATAGCATCAAGGAGAGTGCAGTTCTTGGAGGTCGGTCAAATACGAGATCCCAAATTTACAATGAATTGAAAGTTTAAAAAAACCTACAAACAAACAAACAAACAAACAAACGAACAAACAAACAAACAAACAAACAAACAAACAAACAAACAAACAAACAAACAAGCAAACAAACAAAGACACAAACACACGAACAAACAAATCAACAAACAGACAAGCAAAAAAAAACAAAACAACAAAAACCCACCAGCACGACCAACAGTCATTGCTTTGTACTACCGAGCTCACACTACATATAATATCTACACCATCCTATGCCTGGACACGTCTCTGTACTCTCATAAAGTCGCCACCACAGTCTGCCTTTGTTGCTTCAGCCCAAGACTCGGTTTGTCTTGTTCAGGTCAAAACTGCCTTATCTGATGCTGAAGGCTAACCCATAATGTTGTGCCAATTTTTACTACGATAGTAACCCAAAATGTAAAAACCAGCCAAACCCCCCCAACAACAAACAAACAAAAACAAAACAAAACAAACCCCGCCCCAACAAAAACCAGCAACAAATACATTAAAAAAAATTGAAATAGTCACCTATACGACCAGTACGCTACCTTAGAAATTACAAATTTTTATCTTCTCACTACTTAGTTTTGAGAAATTTGACGTCTGAATTTTTGAGTTTCATGACAATAATATGTCAAGCTGTTCCGAATCTAGTTGTTTGAATATCTTCATAACGACTCCAAATATTCTTATAATTTTGTTGAAGCAGGTAGAGCTTTTGGTTTCTGACCTCATGGTCTTAGTAACTCAACACAGCCAGAAATGTCAGATAGAACTTTATTACTTTTGAGGTAGCAAATAGTCTTGTCTACAGTAGACACGTGGTTGTTGCTGCATTGGAGGCATTCAGCTCATATATGTGATTATTATTTCAACTGCTCAGTGTAAGGTTCAGTCATACATCAGTTTTTACGATGGCGTATTGCTGAGTCTCACGCAAAACAGTCAATTTGCAGATGGCAATGTTTTTGTTAAAGCCGAGCCAATTGAAGACCTGAGAACACACCAAGGACACGTCACAGTTAAAAGATTTAGAGAAAATGAGCAAAAACTTCTTTTCATATTGATAAATACTTCAAGTAAGTTCCGATTATGAAGACTCTCTGCACTTGACATTGCTTTTGCTTGAAAGCGTTGCATCTTTGAACTAGAATGTTTTTTTTGTAAATGTTTTATGGCGTTCGCATCTGCATAAGGTCATATGAGCGCGCGGGACACATTGAATATTTTCTGTTGGCAGGAAATTTGAATTTTGTCCGGGTGGCAACCGAAGCCTGCTCTTATCGATTTTAGACCGCCAAGGGATCTTTAATGTGCGCAACTTGCTCTCGGGCCCGCCGAGATTTTTCGCCCTTGTCCCAGAAAGCTAGGTGTAGATCTTTCATACCAGAAGATCAAGGGTCTGGCTGAAAGACAGCTGTAAGAAGGAGCCAAGGAGTAGAAGTAGAAAGGCTGCAGAAAGAGTCAAAAGCCCAAAGGATGGGGGCAAAGGAGGTGAGGGGCTGGGGGCAGAAAGTGGAGACGAAAGCAGACGACAGAACGTTACTAGAGGATATGAAAGGAGATATTTTTAGAGAAGAAAAATTTCCGGTCGCTACCCAGATTCGAGTCCGGGATCTTTGAATGAGAGGTCAACACCTTAACCTCTAGGCCACGAGAGCCTTCGAACAAGAATAATTAGGCGTAGGAACAGAATATTGCTTCGTCCGTGCTTTTAATAGATAGCCCGTTGTCGCTGCTTTCGAATGGTATGCAGTAGAACCCTATTTTTGGGAAAATGTGACTTAACCTAGTTGTTATTCTCATGTGTTCAATCTATAGAGAAATGTGACACCTCATAATGAAAATAAAATATTACGAGTGCTCCCTGCGAATTGGACAAAGCACTCAGTGCGTTCGATCAAATCGATTACGTAATCTCTGATTGAACGAGTTCTAAAAGACAAATAAATGTTTTCTTTTCATTAGCGATGAAAGTGGTGTGTGCGGATCCCGGTGCGTACACCTAATCGACGGACTGTCAGTTTAGAAAGACCGCCGTCTTGTGAGAAATGGGGTATAGAACGCATGTTATAGTGACGTAAATGTTTTCCACAATCTTTGATATGTTCAAGGACTCTGTATAACAAGATGGTTCATTCCTCTCTTTGAACCAATTAAAAAAGTGTCCTCAAAATCCGGTGGCGCCCTCTTCAAAAAAGCGCCCGCTTCTGGAACAGAGTTACAATACTTGTGTGGAAAAAAAATCAAAGTGAAACCAACAGGTTTTTGTATAAAATTATAATTAAAATTTCGGAAAAACACCTTTTTTAAGTGGTTACACTGAAAAAATCCTTTTCAGGTGAAAGGGGCGACTGTTTCCTTCGTTTAATTTACCTTTAGAACGAGAGGCGAGAGGTCATTAAAATAAAATAAACCCAAACCTCCGCATAGAGAGAACCGGAACAGCTGATTCGCAAGGGGGTGCTATTCCTATTCTTCTTCTGGACAAACGAAAGAGAGCTTCAAAACAAAGACTGCAGCGACATCTGAACCAATGTGCGGACTTCCGCGGACACTTTTTTGGCCGAATGAACTATCTTGTTATGTACAATCTTTTGTATGATTACCTCAACTTGAGTGACTTCTTAAACAACCGACAATTGGGCTGATATGATTCAGAGGTCAGTTATGTAACCAAAAGGCTAACCCCCTCCCTCCCTCACATCTTTTTTTAAATAAAAGAAAAGTCTTCACTCTAAACTTAACGGAAAAACAAAAATGTCTAATGGATAACCACACGAAGTTGAAGCGTAAAAGCAAGATTCTCTTTAACGTAAATAATTATTAACTTCCTAAAACAATAACAATATGTTTGCACCATGGCTCACTTCTTTAAAAAAGTCACAAAGCAGAATCCTTAACATTTTTATTTCTTTTCCCATTATTTATTCCCAGTCTACCGGAAAAGTCGACCATTGCTCCTCTCCACAATAAAACGTCATTCATTTTTTTTTTCTGTTTTTTTTTAAATAGCTTTTTCAGTTGGCTGACCTCCCCCCCCTTCTCTCACCCCTCCCTCTGTCTCTCCTCCCTTCTCTCTCTCTCTCT